CCCACAAATCTCAACAGACAGCTTTTACACTCTCTCTCTCCCTCTGACACACACACACACACACACATATCTAATAAAAAATGACACCAAGACTTTCTACAGATTGACTCTTTTGAAGACATTTTATCAAACTGTCTCTTTCAACTTAATAGAAATGTCCTGTACATCAGAATGGTAACACCTAGGTGTCACTTGCCTCTTTACCAAAACCCAAGTAGAAGTTGAAATAGCTTCCATTTTCATGTGTACCTAACACACACACACACACACACACTCTTTCTCACACCTACATTTATCACAGATACAATAATAAAAAAAAAAACTCAGTTTAGCTCAGATTTTCTTTTCTTTTTTTATTGTTTAATACAAACTAATGTTTAAAAAAAATTCAAATAACTTTGGGTGAGGAGCACAGAGCACAAAAAACCCTACTCTTTAGTCCCAAATAGAATTGCTCACGCTCCACTCCGGTTAAATATACAATGAGCTCTCTTCTCCTTTGCTCCAATAAAAAGGAATGCGCTGTAAAGCTGTGTGTGTGTGTGTATAATATATATATATATATATATATATATAAAAAAACTTGTTTGTTAGGGAAGTGTATTTGATATTTCTGGTTTTTGGTGGTAGTGAGTGGAACAGAAAAATTTACAAATTTGAATCTTTTGATGAAGTCAAATTTTCCCAGGAAATTTTATTGTGAAAACATCTGTTGTCCAAAGGACTGCAGATTTTCACAGGTGACAACATTTGTTTTGTCTTTGTTTACCTAAAGGCTTATCAGGCGAATATGAAAGCTTGTTATTTTGAATGCAGATGTCTTTGAAGGTTGGTAATATTTAAAATCTGGATAAGTTAAAATCAAACCAGAGGAAATGATCTCTTGTGATCAAAGGATGGTGAAAAAAGGCATGGGTAGGTGGGTCCTTACACACACACACACACACACACACACACACACACACACACAGCATTTTAGCAAACAGCAGAGAGAGACATCCTAGGGAACAACAGAGGAGAGACACATTGAAAACTGACTGATCAATACACACTTTGGTTCCAAGTTTCTACCCCATCCAGAGGGGTTAAGCTGTATCAAACTTTAGTAATTATTCTATCTTTATTTGCTATTATTAAAACCAGCATTCTTCTAGATCATGTCGCCACCGCCTTCCGACAAGAAACTTTCTTTTCTTCAGCCCAGTTGTCAAAAGAAAATACCACAGGCTTAATTGAATCAAAGGGAAGGGTACTCCCTACTTTTCTTGTCAGAAAGACACACAACACTTACCAGCAACTCCAGACAATCAGCAACCTAAATGGCACCAATTCCTTAGCCAGTTTAAAACTGTATGTAACCAACCTGCCTGACCCTATAGCCATCCCAAGCTGAAGGTAGATACAAGAGATAGGGTCCAAATTGCTGCACATCTTTGGAGAAGAGTAGGTTATGTCAGGCCTGGATTAACCATTAGGCTAACTAAGCACATTCTTAGGGCACCAAGGGGCACAACAAAAATTTGAGTAGGGTATTATAGGAGAAGGGGGCACGGGGCACCAATTTATTTTTATTTTTTTAAATTGCATAGTAACTGTTGCACAAAACATTTTTTAGAACTAGTTTCTAAGTTACGGTATACTTTAAGAATGAAACACTATGCAACATAAAATTTCATATCACTTTAAAATTTATTGGGATGGCTGTCACTGTGCATAAATATTAATATGATTTTATGAATATAAAACTACAAAAATTAAGCCTTCCGCCTTTTTGTTCACAAATTTTTCAGATCCCAAGATCAAATGTGTTCAGTTAAGTGGTGCACAAAAAGAAAACTAGCCAAACAGAACAAAATGTTTCAGTAATAACAGCCAAGACTGGAAAATTAACTAATTATTTTGTTCCAGTGCAACAATGTGAACATCTAGATACAAATCAAAAGCAAGCCCTGTCTGAGAAAAAAAAACATTTCCACAGTTTGTTCGCTTAGTAGTAGCCCTTCATTTACCAGTTCAGAATATCATGGTGACTTCAATGAAAAATCATAACTTTCACAAGCTGGTGCATATAGCATACTTGCTACTGATCTACCTGTTAACCTTCTTGATAAGTCTACTGCAAGCTGTTCTGCAAGTCCTGACATTGAAATAGTACCTGAAAATGAAATTTGTGATGATACAATTCAGTCTGCAGAAAATAGGAAGTAAATAAAGTAAAAGATCCAGGGCTATGAATCGATTTCTCAGCTGATGATGTGGCTTATTGGGTTGATTGTGGGCCCACTGTCTGTCAGCATCATGATGGTTCCTTTGATAAATCTTGCCAGACTATTGCTAGTGGAAAATCAGCAAGATACTGTTTGCAAAAACTCTTCTACAGAACAAAAGCTAATGGTGAGCAATACAAAAGAGAATGGTTATTGTATTCACGATCCACAGGATCAGTGTAATGTTTGTAAACTTTTTGCGCCTAAAGGTTCCACACATTTGGCTGACAAAGATGAGTTCGGTGATTGGAGAAATAACATTATAGTTGATAATCAGGAAAACATAAAGGCTATGTTAACATATTTCACTCGTAGACAAGGCCTGGGTTTACGACAAAAGCTAGAACAAATTAATGAAGAGTACAATTACTGGGAAAATGTTTTGAAGCATGCAATACCTGTTATTTGTACACTAGCTGAATGTGGTTTAGCTTTTAGAGGACAAATGAAAAATTTGGATTCCTAGAAAATGGAAATTATTTAGGGTTGCTGCAGTTGATCAGTTGGTTTGATCCATTCTTAGCAGCACATATTGTGAAATATGGAAATTCTGGAAAAGGAAACCTTTCTTACTTATCCAAAACTATCTGAAGAACTCATTGAAATTATGACTCAAAAGTTCCACATGCTCATTATTGGATGAAGTAAAGTCTTCTGGTTATTTCAGCTTGTAAATAGACTCAACACCTGATCTATCACATATAGATCAGTTAAGTGTTGTACTTCAGTACTTAATAGATGGGGAGCCCATTGAGCGGTTTTTGACCTTCTTAGAGCTACAAAGTCACACTGGTGAAGATATGGCTAAGCAGGTGTTACAGTACTTATGTGAAGTTTGCAGCCTTAATTTTTTCAAAATGCAGGGGTCAGTCCTACAACAACACAGCTAACATGTCTGGGCGTTACAAGAGCATGCAGCCAAAAATTTTAAAGGAAAATAAGTTTGCCATATATGTACCCTGTACTGCCTATTCACTAAATCTGGTAGGCAGTAGTGCTATTGACTATTGTCCAGAAGCAGTTAATTTCTTTATAATGCAACTGATATATACATTTTTCTCAGCCTCAACCAACAGATGGAAAATTCTCAAAGGTGTTAAAATCCCTTTCTGATACTAGATGGGATTCACATGCCATTGCAACTGGATCCATTCTAAAGTCTTTCCCTCAGATTTTAGAAACTTTAGAATGTTTACAAGAAGACCATTCTCGGAAGGGGGACACCAGAAGAGAAGCAGAAAACATTGCAAATAAGATGCAAGAATTAGAATTTGCTTTCATGCTTATCTTTTGGGAAATCTTACAACATTTTCATAAAAGACATCCAAGCTCTACAAAATGAGCACATGAACTTAAAAACGTGTGCAGATCTGTATTCCTCATTGGCAGACCATTTACATACTTCTAGAACTTAATTTGAAAGATTTGAAGAAGCTGCAAAAGAAATACTACCAGATGTGGATTATAAGGCAACTGATACCTGCAAACGTAAAAGAAAGAAAGTGGTCAATGATGGGGATACACCAGAAGTATCCCTGAATGCCAATTGTATATCCACTTTCTACATCATTATTGACAAACTTGAAGCAGAGATGGAGAGGACAGGTGTATAACAGTAATTTGTCTATTGAGCTTCAACAGTTTCGCTCATATATTTGCCATAAGTTTAGCACAACAAAAGCTGTGAAAACCAGATTCAGCCATGCAGAACTCTACAAAGTAATGGTAGAAGACAATATCGAGTTTGCTTTTCCAAATGTAGAAATTAGCTTGTGCATATTTTTAACATTAATGGTTGGAAACTGTACAACTGAATGCTCATTTTCTCAACTGAAGCATATAAAAAATCTGAATAGTACGAGACAAGAAAGGCTGGATTCCTTATCTCTGCTCATGATTGAAGCAGATTTGTTGTACCAAATTAACTTTGAGGACATAATCAAAGACTTTGCTAGAAAGAAATCTAGAAGAAATCACTTTAAAGTGTAAATTTGTAGGTTTTGTTTTTTTTTTTGTAAATGTTGACAATACAATCTCCTGTTAAAAGACACATATATATTCTAATTTTTTGTTTTTTATTTATATTTTACTTTTTGAATAGCAAGTTCAAGATATGCCTTGTACTTGTTTTAGTTCTAAAAGTTTAATTTTTACTGTTTCATTTTTCATTTTTGTCTACTGTGAAAGATAAAGTACAGTAGCTGTGTTAATTATTATTATTATAAACAAGTAATTATTTTGATAAAAGAAATTTACCTAATTTTGAAATTTATATTGGGTAATATTTATTATTTACTTTGGGACATGGCAATGAAGGCATAAAAAGAGGGGTGCTCATCTATGTTAGTTTCTGCATTAGTCAATATACCAGCAGCTAGTGGAAGGTCTGGGGCACCAATGTGGGCCTGTGCTTAGAGCATAACCATGTCTTAATTTGGCCCTAGGTTGTGTGTGTGTATAGGATTTTTCATAATTCTATTTTTAATTACCAGTGACTTGCAAGAAGAGAAAAATAATGCTTTATGGATTTTTATATGAAATCAATTTTGCTAACTTAAGACTTTTTCCTAGACTTTGTAAATAATGTCTGACAATGTTTATTGAAAAAACACCTTTAAGATTTACCCAATATTGTGCACTGAGAATTCATTTACTTTTTAGTTTTGAAATGATTTAAGTGTCTTTTTTTTTTTTTTTTTTTTGTTACATTTGAATTTCTTTTTAATAATTTAGGGCAATGCTGATATAAGTGCTATCCAAATTATAAAAAAATTAGGTGGTGGAATGGCAGATTCATATCTAGATCAAGGTAAGTGTTTGTTTTTGTTGTTTTTTTTTTTTTTTTTTTTTTTTTTTTTTAGTCTTAGGTTTAACTTTTATTTTCTGCCTAAATTGGAAGATATATTACCATGGTTCATATAAAATTACAGTAAGTTTGTGTTTCAAATAAAAATACAGCACTATTATAACAGTGTAAATATCCAAGACAATTAGGAAGACTCTTATTTTGACATTTTGCTGATCAAACAGTATCACCAGAAAAATGGATTTTCTTTCAACTAAATTTACATTGATGACAAAGGATATGATTTCTGTTAATTATACAAATCCTTCTTTTAATTGCTATCGTTTTAAAAATTAGATTTACTAATTTCAACTTAGTTTTTTATTTTGTTATAAAATTTTTCATATCCCAGTTTCAACACAGAACAGATAATAGACTGAAGAAGCCTAGTTGTATATTATCTGTAGGAGATTTATAGATCATGGTACTTTCACTGCATCTTTGAATCTTGAAATTTTGGGATGTTTCAGCCGTATTTCTTGGGGTATTACTTTCATACACAGTGTGGTAGATGCCTGCTTCTGATGTAAAGTTGTTTTAAATTGTTTTTAGAAGTGTTTGTGATAAATTCTCTATCAAGATTAGCTAAATTTCACTTCATTATTTATGGAGTTTGTAGTTAATATAATGTTCCTAGTTTTTGTGTTTGTATATTTTTTTATTTTCTGGTTCTGTTGATTTTTGCATGTTTCTTTTTTTTGTAACTTTAAATCACATCAGTATAAATAGCTTGTTTAGTTATTTTTAACAATATTAATTTAGATGAAGAATGTTGGATGAAAATTATTTGATAGAAAATTCTGCATGAAATGTGAGTATGTATGAGTGAATTATACACCTGCAATCCTTTTAAAATATGTCATTGTTGAACCTCTGTAAGGTGGAATAGCTTAGTGATGTCTCTAATATCCAATAGCTGGTGAACTATCACTAGGTGTCTGTGTATATAAAAATACATCATAAATTATGTATATGCATATTCTTATACATTAACCAGAATGTATTGTATACAGTTGGAGACTGTTGATGTTGCTGCTTTATTTATTTTGTAAATTTAACATTACTAAATTCATTTCCTAAAATATTTGAAAAAAGAAAATAGCTTGTTACTGATGAATGAGAGATATTATTGTTGGTTTTACTTTTATTTTGAAGAAAGATAAAAGTACCTACAGTATAGGAAGACCTATATATCTGAATGCATAGTAATACTGAAAAGGGGGGGGCATACAAATGTTATAAAGCACTAGAGGAAATGTAGAATTAACTGCTTGTATTGATGGAAGAAAAATTAAAATTGCACTAAACAAATTTTTTGTATTTAGGGACATTAAAAGTTGTAAATAGTATTTAGTATGGCTCCCATTGATACAAACTACAGCCTCAACTGGACATGCAAAGAAGGAAAATTAAAAATTGTTTCATCAGGAATGTTCTGCTAAACTCCTGCAAGTTCTTTGGTTTTCTGCTATATATCATAGTTTTTAACCTTCTCTACATAGATTATGTTAAGGTTTGGGCTTTGGGCAGATTAATCTTTTAACATTGCAATATATGGCAAGGTGATCCCGCATATTGGAATGTTTCACCATCTTATATCTGGTAATAAGTGGGACAAAGTATTTTTTTTCTTATTTTTTTTTTCTGTGTTCCATTGTTTTTTTTATCAATTTGTACCATCGCTTTTGATGAAGATTGAAACCATAAAACATCAACTGAATTTTATTGTCATTGTTGTATATTTTGGAATGTTTCTTGTATAAATTTGTCTTTGTATTACAACTCTTTGTTTTTTTGTTTTTTTTGATTTTGCTTTCATCAATATATATCACTTATGTCCCTTTTTCATTATCCTAGATGTTCTTCTAGTCAGTATGTTTTTTCTATTTGATGCATTTTTGATTAATGATGGCATTTTTACTGCAATGCATCCTTTTTAAATGACCCTTACATAGTATACTTCTTAGTTGCTTAACACTTCAGTAGTAATGCTGCTTTCATTGATTATTTAATGAACTATTAATTTGGGGTTGGATACTGATAACCTATCTTTCATTGATCTTGTTTGTCTAATTTCAAAGGTCTACCAATTGTTTCCATATTTAAAATGTTCTTTGCATCAGCATCATTAAGCTGACTTCCCTAGCGATTTCATGTTAACATTCTTAATGGCATTTTGATAATTTTCATCCTCTTCTTCAATCTCACTATTGCTATTTTGAAACTTAAATTAATTCCACTAAACAAGTTAAAAGCTCCAAATCTTGTGCACTTTGTGTTTGATCATTTAACATGAGAAATTTGTATGCATAATCTTTACCATAAGACATTTCAAGTGTCTTATAACGTTCGGATGAATTTTTCTTTTCTTTTTTTTTTTTTTTTTTTTTTTTTTTTTTTCAGTATCAAAATTTGTTCAGGTCTGTATATCCCCTTGTACTGTGTTAATGTAAATATGACCACTTGCATCCCAGTCTTGAATGACCACTGATACTACTCTTCAAAGTACTACTCCTTCTTAGTAAAATTTAATTACATTGATCTTTTTTTACCTACGTAGCTCATTTCTTTTGCTCACCCTACTGCAAGGTAAACACACCTTTTCCTAAATGAAATCAAAAAACACTACTCCCTGATTTTAAAAATTTACTAAAAATGAGAGAATCATCCAATTTAAATTATATTTTCAGCACTTAATCATTAATGAATTAATTCTATACTGAATAGTTTGTTAGAAAAACTTGTGAAAATTTATGTGTAATTTATAATTTTGTTAATTACTCCTTCCCCGCCTTTGATACATTGTGAACACATTTGAAATTGGGTGTTAATGAAAAATGTTATATATTTCTTTGTTTTTATAAAGAAAAATTCTTGAGTTTATTTCAATAAAAAATTTATCCTGAAACCTTAAAAAATAATTCAATAAAACTCGGGTGTTTTACATAATTTCATAAAGCATTATCTCCTTTCAGATCTTGACAGATCTACAATATATATTTTTGCAAAAATTAATTTTTCTTTTCTTTTTTTTTTTTTTTTTAACAACTGTTAGATTATTATTTTTGGATAGAAGATCAAATAGGAAATAATTCTGAATTGCCTCCTTTTGATGATTATTCCTATCAGTATCAAAAATAAACTAGTTTCTATATTTTGGTAATTTTGGTTCACTTTGTCAAATTTGAGATTTTTAAGTGGGGTAGATTGCTACTATTTAAATGTATTTTTGACTATATCTTATGCATAAACTAAATATTATTTTTCCAAAATTCTGTTAATTAATTCTTAATTTTACTCATTTTAAACAAATCTCTAGGACAAATATTTATTTTCAGAAACTTTAAAAATGTTACGAATTTTGTAAATTTTTTCTATTAAAATGCCAGATCAATAATAAATTTGACAATGTCTTAAAACCTTAATACAAATATGTAAAATTATTTTTATAGATTACCTTTAATCTTACAAATCAAACTAAAACAGTACTAAAAGAAACATTTATATGCCTTTTTAGTTTTAGCCCAAATTTTGACTACTTATTGTATTCAGCAAGAATTGGAAGTCCTAGATGTGGCTTTCCTCTGTCTTTTCTACAAATATTTTCATGGTAATTACCCTGACAAGAATTTTTCCCTGGTGCCTTGATTACATGAATTTAAGTGTGCTACTAGATTGGCAACTACCATTTTACTGTTGAAATAGCTAAATGCAACTGCCACTTCTACTCCAAGTTTCTTTTCTTGCACTTCCCACCTGTTTCATTGCTTCACTGATAACTACAATCTTCAAAAATTTAAATGTAAATCATCATCTTTTGTCTTGAGCCCTGTCAATTTTTCTGACCTTTCCTCAATCCTCCCTATATATCTTCTTTCATTTTCACTCCCTGTAACCCCCTGTGTATTACTGGTATTACCACATTGCTTGGGATAAAATGATTAAAAAATAAAATTCAATTCAGACATAGGGACCTTGACAAAACAAATAATGGTACCAAATTTATCTTGATAGCTAAATTAGCAACCAAGTAATGGTCATTCAGAGTTGCAAGCTTCAACCATATGAAAAATCATGGATGTAGTGTCATATATGTAACCTTGAAGTAAAGAAAGATAACACTAATAGAATCTATAAGTATTAGGTCTGACCAGCTTAAACATTGGGTAAAATTGATTCTCAAAAATGAAATAGTTAAGATAAAAATGACAAAAGAGGGAAATTTTGATTGTTCATATAAATTTAATTTCAACAGTTAATGCCTTGCCACTTGCAGTGTTTTGTAGCACAACAGAGATGAAGCTTCTTTTTTATTTTCAATCTTACAATAATAAAAAAATTCATATTTGCACCTTGTAAGTTTTTACAAGATGCAAATAAAAAAAGCCAGAAGCACAATTTGGAACCACATCAAATTGATGAACGTCCTTTTTATTACAGATGAGGCTGTTTTGACATATGTAGAGACATAAAACTTAAAGCACAAGTTTTAAAAATAATTATGAAATTGTTTACTTTGAAAATGTGGTAAAACAAATGATCAAAGAGATGTAGAATAAAAAATAATAATCACATTTGCGAAAGAATTGTCTCTTATAGAATTTTATACTCTTTTGCAAATGTGATTATTTTTAAGAGAAAATTGTTTACATACTAACTTTATCAAAATAACATCAAATAAACGAAATACTAGCAGTTGAAATTGCATAAAATGTCACTTTTTTCGACATTTTTTTTTCTTTACATAGGATCATAGAACTATTCCTTACAGCATTTTAAAAAATAAATAAAATGAAATTTTGGTAGCTTTAAAAAAAAATTAACTAGATATTTCAGTGTTCATAACCCTTAAATATTGTCACTTTTATTATTTGTATCTATACATATAATACATGTAAGAAAACTTTCTTTTTGAAGTGAGCTTTTTTCTTTTAGTAGAATTTGTCATGTTTATTTGTAATTTTATAAGTAACAGCTACAGCAAACTACTTATAAATTAACTTAAATTATTAACATGTAATAAAAAAAAAAAAAAAAATCTGAAGTATAAAAATATTTTGTTACTTTTCAATTAAAAAATAATTCTCTTTTAAGGTTATCTTCTTGACAAAAAGATTGGTGTTAATCAACCAAAACGAATAGAGAATGCTAAGATTTTAGTTGCAAATACACCCATGGATGCTGATAAAATCAAGGTATGTTTGTTTTTTCTCTTTCTCTTTCACATTACATTACAAAATAGTTTGCCATCTTCAATGTCAGAAATTTTAATTTTACCACCTTTTACAATGTGCTTTCTTATCAATGAAGATCCATTTTTTTTTTTTTTTCTCCTTGAACCCTCCCAACATAAAGAACAAAGCTGATACAAATAGCTTCAGAGATTAAGAGGTACAATAAGATAATTTAGGGTTGCCAAATTAACAATTTTTGGTTATATCTTGCTGACTTTCCATAATTTTGTTGATAAAAAAAATATTTGATTTTTAACATTTTTTTTTTCTTTACATAGGATCATAGAACTATTCCTTACAGCATTTTAAAATTACTTAACAGTTTGACATCAGCTTATGTATGATCTTGTAATTTTTTTTCTTTTATTACTTAAATCTATGCCAGAAATCTACCCACCAGGAAGAAAATAACATGGAAAATTGGTCATGAAAACAATTCCTTTCCAGTACAATTTTATTTTATTTTATATATTTTTTCTCTGTTTTTAACCCGTGGAACAATTTACAATCAAGACAACCTTGGCTAATTTATGCCAAAAGTTCAAAATGAAATTTTAGAAAAATTCCCCCAGTGCTATATGATTTCAAAAGTTGTACTGTGGAATTTTCTTATGGGAGGCACTTTTTACAGGATTTAGGATAAAGTAAATTTTTGCTAAGAAAATAAGTTTCTTTTAGTTTCTAATTTGTTTACTATTTACATTATTTGGACTGTTGTTCTCGTCTTTGTTGCCATATTTATCACATTTCAGCCATTGTACACACCGGCCTTCTTGTTGAACTGAACCCTTTATTTTGATCACTGGAGTAGACTGTTCTAGTTCCACGTCTAATGGCTATCAGTTATCGGTTATCTCCTGTTAATTCCCCTCTCCAAGTTCTCTACCACCTTAACCAGGTATTGAACTCGCACTCTTTGGGTCCTGTCACTGGAGCTAACTAACGCCTTTATCCACTGTGCCATGTGTTCTTGAGGACATTTGTGTATGGATTTCTGGGTATTATAAACCTAATGTCTTCAGCAATCTTTTTTTTTTTTTTTTTTTTTTTTTTAACCAGAGCTCATATTGCAATTTTCAATGTTATTATCACTTTTTTTCTGGCGCTCCTTATTACTGGTTCCCATATTGTATTCATTTCTATGCTTGGTCGGCTCAGGAGATTTTTGTGGCCTAGCATATGTGCTAATTCCTTAAGTTTACGAATTTTCCAATGATGTTCTTTGTCTATGATTTCAACCTGATCCCAGTGATCTCCCTTTTCTCTCCATATGTGGTCAGCCACACCTGATTTTTCTACTTCTCATGTTAACAGCTTTCTGGTGTTCTTAAGGGGGTGGCCTGTCTCCCCTTTATATTTCTTTCTGCAGCTGCATGAGATGGTGTTAATCTTAATAATTGCTTAACATTTTTATATTGCTCATTTTCCTTGAAATTACTGGTATTTGTTGTTGAAATTTTTTTTTCTTTTTATAAAGGTATTTGGCTCTCGAGTAAAGGTGGATGCAATCTCAAAAGTAGCAGATCTTGAAGTAGCTGAAAGAGAAAAGATGAAGGATAAAGTGAATAAGATTTTGAAACATGGCTGTAATGTCTTTATCAATCGGTATGTATAAGGTTGCTTTATGAAAACTAGTTTAAAACATTTTATTCTTCTGAAATACAAAACACACACAGATAAGAATGGTATGTTATAGATAAGAAAGAATAATGGTTTTTCTCCTTATTAGTTGGTTTCCTACAATAAATAAGCATGTCAACTCTGACAGTGAAACCGATATCTCACAGCAATCACATCATATGCTCAACACTGAAAAAAGTGGTTGACTAGCAAAACTGATCTTTTATATAACTGACACTGTTATCCAGCTCATTGTTCCAACTATTTGGTGGGAGAGATGGTGGATATATCCAGACATCCAGGGTTCATTCTGGCTGGGGATCCATTTTCTTCCTTTTTACAGAAACAGCACACTACACATCTTTTTGACTGACGGGGGCGGGTACCATCATCACTAGTGGTAGGCACAGTTCATTCTGCATGTCATTTCTGCTACACTCCCCCTGTCCTCATGATTGAACATATAGCAACCTGGGGCTGGTTGCTTGCACCACATGCTCCTTTGTAGTGGCATGATTGCAACTTCCTATCCAGATGACTTGTCCACCAAAGTGTCCTTCGATAAGTCTGTATCAGGCCCTGAGCTGCTAGTTTCAGGGAGAAGGACTCGCTCTTATTTTTACTTTCTGAAGCACTTCAAAGTATAACAGGCATAGGTCTCAAATGGCGAAACATTCCATCAGTAAAGTGTTCTGTGCACTTGTTATGCCAGTAACATGTACAAGTTTATATAGACATGCACTGTCCATTCGGGACCTTCACTTGGGCTCAATCTCCCACTTCATAACCATTATGCTGCTGTTCGGGCTCAGCTAGAGGTATTGCACTAATTCCTTCCAATTGAACTTGGTACTGATGGATCATGTTGGCAGGGACAGTCAGTAATGACATCATTTTTGGGGGTGGCATTGTTCCAATAAACAACTTCCATTGTGGAACAGTTTTCTTACTGCAATTTGTTTTACATTTTGATGGCATTGATGTGATGCTATTGAAGCATAAAACAAGGTGTAAGGGTGTCTGATCTGTGCACAAGTGGCATCAGAAAAAGGTGCAACAGCCGTTACTCCTCACATCAATGCTATATTGACATCTTTTAATCCAGCTTGCTAAATTTATGTGCTGTATGTCTTTCTCTTTGCACAACCAACTCACATCCTCCACAATAGCACCATTACGCACTACTTTCCTCACACAGGGTCTTCTTGGTACACTCTTACAATGACCTCTTTTATCATTATGCTTAGAGGATCATCATCCACCTTGTCGTCCCAACCGGTTGTAACTGCTGCTGCTCCTCTTAATGAATATTGTTGCTACTCTAAGCCATCCACTCACTGGGAAGTACTCAACCAGCTTTCCGTACAGTGAGAACACACTGTCTGGTAAGAACACAAGACATGCTGGGAACTTAATTTCCATTAGTGCATGTTGACATAATGGCCCGAACTCTCTAGCTAGTCATCCATTCTCAGTTATGCTCGGAGGTACTACCTTATGTGACTTGGCAGTCCTGCCACAATCACATCCATTTTCTTCCAATGAGCAGGGCAAACTTCCAAAGTACAGCCGTACACAGTCACTACATGTTGAAGCTTTCAAAAGCCACAAAAGAATCAATCAGAAAAGACCAGAGTTCACTTGATTTGCTCTACATCAGACCCTTGTTCTTTGCTGAGCTGCCTATATACTGCAAGGGTTACAACTAATTGTAGAGGAATGACACCCCCTACTTCCTGAACATCATACCTCACAAATGAATACCACATGTTTGAATCATTCAACTATCAACTGAATTCTGGATGTCAAACTATTTGCCATTTCCCTTTGTGCCAACATAGCTTGATGGTTTTTCTTATTGGTTAGGTATCTGCAGTGAATAGGCATCTCACAACTCAGACTGAAATCTTCAGTATCTCATGGCAATCATGCTTTATGCGCAGCACAGCCCATTGCTATTGATAAATGAACTTATTTTTATTGAACTTAAAATATTAGTGGTAAGCTAATAAAACAAATCATTTGCATAACTAACACCACTCAACTCCTCATTCTGATTATTTGGTGGTGGTGGGTGGCTGATGGATATCTTATTTCTTCATATCCAGATGTCCCAGGGTTCAGCCATTTTCTTTCTTTTTACAGAGACAGTTATTTGAGTTTAGCAAATTCTCAAGCTTGGACTTATTTCATGCTTAAAATTTGAGAAAGGTGAAAATTTAAAATAAAGTTGTATTAAAAAAAATGTGAGGATTACTTCATGCTTAATTTTTTTTTAACTAGTTATGCTTATAAGCTTCATGTTAATAAAAAAATATATATATAAACTAATTCTATACTAGGTCATCTTAGGAATGCTGAAAAATTCTTGACCTGGTCTGCTTTCTAAAATGTGACCAATATTATTTGGCTGATTGAGAATTTTTATGCTCTTTATTAGAGAAAGAAATATTTCTAATTTCTCTTAAACATCAAATCAAATTTTCTTTTTGACTGCACCAATAAATTATAAAACTTGTAATATTTAACTTTGTTTTTTGTTATAACTTTTTACTGAAAAACAATTTTAAGAGTGACATATTCAGAAAAAATAATATAAATTTCATTACAGACAATTAATCTATAATTACCCTGAGCAGTTATTCTCTGATGCAGGAGTTATGGCTATTGAACATGCTGATTTTGAAGGAGTAGAACGTTTGGCTTTGGTTACTGGTAAGTAGTGATTTTTTTTTTCCTTGTATTTTTGTCTAAATGATAAATGTACAAAAAGCAAAAAGTTATAATTGCAGGCCTCTATGGGTCGCTGAGGATGTTGGTTTGGTTTCAGTAAAATTTCATTAACTTTATTAAACCTCACTTCATCCTTATTTTATCTTCTGCCATCTATCAGTCAACTTGACAATTTCATTCTTTCTCAACAAAAACTGCTTGAGTTACCTTGTGTAGTGTTCCAGAAAATGTAGAGAATTGTGTAGTGTTAATCTGAACCTTGCTTGTAAGCTAATAAAAAAATAGTGTATTTAGAAGCCACGTAGATGAAGTTATTATAAATCATTTCATTATTTACATTATTCGGACTATTGTCCTCATCTTTGTCGCCATATTTATCACAACGTTTTGGTGGTTGTATGCTCAGACCTTCCTCAGGTGGTTAGAATGTCAAACTGAACCCTTTATTTTGCTCACTGGGGTAGACTGTTCTAGTTCTACTTGCCATGTTTAATGGATCTCCTGGTCTTCTTCACTAGTAATTCTGTTGAAGAACTACTCGAGCCCCTGGGAGATATGAGCTTGTAGTTTCTGTTTTATCCAACGATTGTACTGGATTCTCTCTTGGACAAGGACATGTCCCGCTTTCTCTGCAATCAGACGGGCTCTCCTTGAATTGACGGGAAGTCTTGGTGACAAGCCTGACGGGATGAGTTGTGAGTTGTAGGTCTCTGCATCGGTGTAGGAATGTCAGATGGTTTGATATTCGTGCCAGTTTCTGGTAGGATTTTTCAATTTGTCTCTATATTTTTGGTATATCGGGTCTGTACCGATCCTTCAGTATCTGTACCGATTTTTCAGCATCTGTTTATATTTCTGAGATGAGGTATTATGTACATTATTTGGACTATTGTCCTCATCTTTGTCGCCATACTTATCACAACATATATTGACAAGATGAGGGCTTAGCAATGGGCTCACCATTATCACCAGCAATGGTGAATGAATACTTTGATGAGATGGCATTAGAATCTATATCTCTAAAGCCAACTATATGGTTAAGGTTTGTAGATGACACCTTCATACTCTGGCCACACCAGGAAGATGTTCAGGTTCTACTGGACCACATGAACTCAATAAGACCTTCGAAACACTCTCTTTCTCCATTGTGAACTAACAACACACTCCCATTCCTAGATGTTCTAATATCTCGAACAGAGCATGGGTTCAAGACATCCGTAAACCGACATTCACCGGACAGTACCTCAATTTCAACTCCCACCATCCATACAGCATAAAGAAAGGGATCGTCCGCTACTTACAATACTGAGCAAAAGTCATAAGTGGTGACCCAGATACATTAGATAAAGAATTGGTCAGTGTAAGTAGTACCCAACAACATAACAACTACCCTGGGTACATGACAGCAGCCCCCAAAAAACTGGGATAGGTGGGTACAAGAGGAGGACAACAACACTCAGAAAACAGTCTGCCTGCCTTATGTGAAGAGGTTATCAGAGAAAATACAAAGGATCTGCAGTCCATATAACATCAGGACAACCTTCAAAAGCTTGACGACACTTCGCAGATATCTCTCCTGAGTAAGAAAACATAGAGGAGAACATGACTAAAGACTGTGTGTACGCTATCCCGTACAGCTGCAGAAAGAAATATAAAGGGAGACTGGCCACCCCCTTAAGGTAAGGCTTCAAGAACACCAGAAAGCTGTAACACAAGGGGAAGCTGAATAATCAGGCGTGGCTGACCACATATGGAGAGAGAAGGGAGGTCACTGCCTTCTGTGGGATCAGGCTGAGATCATAGACAAGGGACACCATTGGAAAACTCGTAAACTTAAGGAATCAGCACATATGCTAGGGCACAAAAATCTCCTGAGCTAACCAAACATAGAAATGAATGCAATATGGGAACCAGTAATAAGGAGTGCCAGAGAAAAGCAATAATAACGACAAAAGTTGCAATATGAGCACTGGTAAAAAAATGGTTACTGAAGACATTAGGTTTATAATACCCAGAAATTCATACACAGGCACTTGGCACAGTGGGTAATGGTGTTGGTTAGATCCAGTGACGGGACCCAAAGAGTGTGGGTTCAATACCCAGTTAAGGCAGTGGAGAACTTTCACTGATAACTGACATCCATTAAACAAGTGGAACTAGTGAGCGAAATAAAGGGTTCAGTTTGACATTCCAACCACCTGAAGAAGTCTGGAGCGGACAACAGCTGAAACGTTATGATATGGTGACAAAGATGAGAACAATAGTCCAAATAATGTACATAATACCTCATCTCAGAAATATAGACAAATCATATTTCATTAACCTTGCTATAATATAAATTCTATACTTAGCATAATTAGGCAATACTGCTATTATGAGTGGAGTTTATTGATTTTAAATTGTTCATTTCTTTTATACAGGTGCTGAAATAGTGTCCACTTTTGATTCACCAGAAACTGTTAGACTTGGTCATTGTGATTTAATTGAAGAAGTAATGGTTGGAGAAGATAAATTAATTAAATTTTCTGGTAATGTTTTAACTTTATTTTTATTTTATTAATTTTTCTCTAGAAAAATTAATAAACAAAATTTAAAAAATTTGTAATATCATAATTTGCTTTATTTATATTGTTTATACCTTTTGGGTTTTGTTGTTACTTTGCAATATTGAAATAATATTGTCTCCATATTTAAAAACGTCTGTGTATCCACCACCGCATTACAAGAAAAACAAAAAAGGAAATGACTTTGAGAACTGACAAGTGACTTGTAGTAATAACAGAATTTATTTGTCAAGAGTTACATTTATCAGATTAATCCTTCCCAATACCCAGCTGGTTTGTGATTAGTAGGTTTTAACATTATTCACAACTTATTGCAACAAAAACAGCAGTGCCCTAGATTAGTGATGAGTAGCTGAACAGAGAACTTTTGGTTCATCTCCAATTTTTGTCTTATTTCATTGGCCTGCTAATGAAAACTCTTTGGCTGGAAAAACTTTTGACTTGAAAGTATTCTTCAGTAGTATCTTACACACACACACTTCTGCACCATTGTGCCTTTCTGAGTGATCTCTACTTGTGTGGATACACACACACACACACAGAATAAGTTCCTTTCAAGTGAAAAGTTATAAGTTGATTTGTATACGTGCATAGTAACGGGAAGGGGTTTTGATGACTTCATCACCTTGTCATACACAGTTAAGGTCAACTGAATTCCTAACTTAATATACAATTTTAGTAATATATCTTTAGTAATTTGTTTCATATTCTTCACTACCTCATCTTTGTCCTTGAACCTCACAGCTGGCTTTTATGTGTGCCTAACTCAGTTATTCAGATTTTTTCATGTCCACCTACAGGTATTTTATTAGTCCTAAGGTAATTTACTTGACCATGTATAACACAAGTGATTTTGTGCCGCTTTCATCAGAGATAGAGGCTATGCCCATTACATTCCTCACTGATCAAATAGAGGCCTCTTGTGTCTGGTGCTTCTTTGAAGTGTTTATACAACGGGCTTACTGACCTCTTCAACAGTTTCTTCTATGAACCAGTGATCCTCTTTACCATCACCGCCACTTGATTGATCAGTCACCATGAGTTGAACAGTCATCCTCATTAACCACTGGTAGAAACATTCCATCATCACTTGATGTGGCTATCTCAATCTTCACAGGGTCACCCACTACTTGAGGAAAATGGCAAAGGTCTCTCGTGTGACACAGTATTCCTTCTACATGAGGACTCAAGATTCCAGTCACTGTTCCTTCTTTATATTTACTTGTGCATCTATTGGATAATGTTATTTACCTGCACTTTTTATATATTCCCTGTCTAGGTTCAGCCTCCAGTGGTGCAATATTATCAACACCTTTCACCTGAACTTTGTAGGAGTACAATACGTTGGCTGGAGCAGTCTCACCATCAACACCATCCTTTGGTGTAACATTGTACCGGTACTCCACTTTATGGCAGTGATTCACTTTATGCCTCTCTGTGAGAATGCCATATCCACATGGCCCATATGCACATTGGGGCATCCACCTGCAATTCCAATCTTCAGCAAATGTCCTGAAATTTTTGCTGTTGAATGCTGTGCCATTGTCTGTCAGGATCTCCTCAGGTGGGCCCCTTTCAAGAAAGATTGCCATGAGACACTGGATTATAGTAGCAGAACCTTCTCACACTAAGGGCCACCAAATGGCAAGACAGAGTCCAACAGTCAAGTAATGGTGATATCCGTCCCCAGTCTTTGCCATACACTTGCTGTCTCCAGTTTCCCTCTCTGCCATTGGATTGGTGCTGGATCAATTGACATTCCAAACATGATCTAACTGCTGATCAACATTTCACCCGAGCTGTGCCGGTCACTGTGTCCTTGAGCCATTTATGCATGCATAGCGAGTTAATTTTTAGATGTATGGTCTTTACCTCCCATTGTATGGCTAGGTTGGCTCATCTAGCTAGGTTTACTTCATCCTAATTTTTGAATTTTTTCAAATGACTCTGGCCAACCAACACACCAGATTCCATTGTAATTCCAGTGGTCAAAAACTTGCATCAACCCACACACTAAATTCTTTACCATCCAAACACCATTTGCCTTTGCACAGATCGGCCTGCTTCACTATGGTACTGGTCTCCATTAGCATTCTTTTAAGTGGGACGTCATTTATTTGATTGTCCTAAGCTTTCATTACCACATTTGCTCTTCACTTGATGACACCAATTGCTACCTACAACCATCCACATACTGACAAACCCACCACAAAAAGAGAACACCTTTCTCCTGGTGACCATTTCATGGATGTCTGGAACCACATTGCTACATTTCCTCCATAGGATGCCATCTTTCCTCCAGACACCTAAGCATCTTAGTCCCATCTTTTGACTACTCCAGATTCTTACTTGTCAGTCCAAAGTGTGACAAGTGTTCTGCAACGCAATTTACAGACACAATATCTTCATTGATGAAAGAGGTCATTGATATATGCTGAGGTTGCCTTTTTGATGTTTTCTGCCTGAGACAGCACTGCTTTGACAATGGATTTTGTTATCAGGTAGGCTGCGTTTAGCCCAAAACCCAATCTAGTCAGGCACTACCTTCTACCTTGGAAAATAACTGTCTGGTACAGCCAAAGTTGTTCATTAATGTGAACATGTAGGTAGGTAGATCTGAGGTGCAGTAGTGCCATGTTTGACCCTTAGTTTGCTGGTACCAACATCAGTGTCTGCTGTATACACGTCAATGTGGAGGTTAAGTTCTTGGTAATCCATTACAGGCAGCACATTTTGATTTGATTTGTTGCATGAACCCTTGTGGGCATCTAAATTTACATTCTTAATAGGGAATAAGCCAGCCTTTCTTGACCCATTGATTCAATTTCTTTTCATAGGATTTTCTAACTTTCATCAACATGGCATACTCTGCAACACAGTTTCGCAGCTTTGCTGGTTTATCCAGTTTCATGATGCAGTCCAATCATTTCATCACTGATTGAATTCCGCGTGAAATTCAGGTTCTTCAATGGAAATTGCTGATAGTCTCTTGCATCTTTCAGTCTCTTGCATCAAGTGACACAGTGACAAGCTATGTGAACTATCACACACACAACATTTTGCGGGTGCACTCGCAATTCCCTTCACTGAGTCATGCATTGGTTTTACAGCTGTCGCAGCTAGTTTCCAATCCCACGGGGTTGTCCTTTTTAATATTGCTCTTGCATGAGCCAGCACCTGTGTAATATCCATTTAGCAGGATATGTAGAAGAGATGCTTGACGCACTTTGGTAGACTGGCCACAAAAGCATATATGCCTTGTTCTGGTATATCACTGAAAAGAACCGAGTTTTTGGAGCTCCACCAGAAAAACATCAACAGACTCTACGTGGTATAAACATTATACCACAAATCATTCATATGCTGTAAATGAGTCCGCAACAAAGGCCGTACATTAGGCTTCCTTTATGCAGTCGAAGTTGTTTCTTCTTTCTTCACTCATCTGCTGGTATACTGCATATGCACTACCCATTAGATACATCTGGACTACAAACTCTATACTTTTCACCACACACAACTGCCATATAAATTCTGCTTTCTCTATCCATTCAACAACAGATTGTTCAGGATCAGAGCCATCAAATACCAGTATTAGTTTTGGGTCAAATTGGTTGGTCATGATGCTGAAATAGTAATACCTTGAGATACAAGCATACCAACATACAAGTTTGTGACACTGAGCTGTCGGCCATGGTCAACTCTGTCATGGCGCGAAGCTGTAATGTTTCTTCCACGGACATTTTGGGGTTGACTCCTAGACGCTGCCACCAGCCTGTGTCCCGGTTGATCGGTGGTCATCTAGCGATGACCAATGATCAACCGGACTCCCTTGGTCAGGGTACCAACATGTGATACTGGCCCGTCCAGGGTCGAATTCTGGTCATCAATGCTAACGGCTTCACACCAGCTGCAACCAGTTCGATATCAGCTCCGTCATTCCCAGCTCACTTCCAATGTCTGCTTACTGAAGTAACTGTTTCAATCTCAATTCTAACCTACCCACATTGTGATTTTGATCTTAGGTAGACAAGATCGATCAGGCATTGGACTGTACTGTAAGATGAGTCCAGACTGGAGGTGATATCGCACAAGTGTAAAGAAAAAAATCCAAATAATAAAAAAAAAAACCCCAAGAGGTTCAAGTATGTTAAGAAATAACAAATCAATTTCATCCCTATATACAGGATTGTGTTTCTCTCTCAGCCTGTTTTCTATGAAATGTGACACTTTTACGTTTCAAGCAAGTTTTGGTATCTTAAGTCAACTGATTTAGTTCTTAGGTGCTGGCTTGGCTTTGTTCGTAAGTATAAGTTGCTATTGGTAGGATAGGCAAAGTCAGAGGTCGTGGAATATCTCAGTCAGCTTCTGGCCGAAATTTTTATGACCACCATGTGGTTTGCCTGATATCTTAATGCTTTGTTTATCTTTCCGAATTTTCCCATTTCTCTCGGCAAGGCACTTCTTTACAACAATATTAATCAATTTGACAAAATCTCACATATGGCTTTTTCTACAGGTTTACTGTCTTTTTGTGAAAAGTATCTTTTTCGTAAATAAAATAAAATCTTTTTAACATTGAACAGTATATCTTTCGGGATAACTTCTTTCTGCCTTCAGTATTTCCTGTTTTAATTTCTATGGTTAATTAGTTAGACAATTACCATAGCTAAATAGTGTCACAAGCTGGAGATTGAACGATTACAATAGTGTTAGGTAAGCATCCACTAGTTGACACAGTAAGCCCCAAGCTTTGAGAGTATTTCCACTCGTAGTATAGATGTTCACCTTGATTAAACTTGTATCTCAAAGCATTACTGTGTTGTAACATATCTAGTAATTCCTCACTGCCATATCTTTGTCCTTGAACCTCACAGCTGGCGCATTCAAACATATTATTTGGCATCAGTAATCATTCTCCTCAAAGACAAAATCTGCTAGTTTTTATATGTGCCTCACTCCGTTATGCAGATTTTTTTTCATGCCCACATACAGGCATTTTATTAGTCCTAAGGCACTAGGTAATTTACATGACCGTGTATGTCACAAGTGATATTATGACTCTTTCATTGGAGATATAGGCCATGTCCATTACAACAATCAAAGCAGAAAGTGTGAATGGGATAAAAAAAATAAAATTTAATTTTGACCAAGATAGGGCCAGTTGGTTTATTGCTATTGTCATTTTTTCAGTGGGGTTGGGTGTTTCTTGTTTCACTTGACCCTACAAGTTAAATCCCTGTTAATCCACAGGTTCAACACTATACAGTTTCAGGTACTAATCTATTTTATTGTAATTAAATGCTTTCTGTTTCTCCAAAAACTCTTTAGAAAAAACCAGATCCCAGCATACTTTTGGTATTCTAAATTCACTTGTCTAGGCTTTTTGCATCATTTCCATGTTATTCTAACTGGTTTGAGGTAAATAATTCACTCACTGGTAAAATCCACTCCAGTAACTTACATTTCTCTCTCAACCACTTATTTACCCTACTTTGTAGCAGTATGACTTGCATGGCTAAAGGTGTTTGTTCAGGCTCCAGTCCAAAATCTTTCACTGTATCAAAAGAAATTGTCTTAATTTCACAATGAATCTAAGCATGAAAAGCACTTCATGCAGTAAATGATGTTTTGATCAAATGTTACATTGACTAACAACAGAACAGAGGAAATAACTTTAAAAAAATAAGAGCAGTTAAGAAATAGATTTAAAATCTATCCTAATTTTTTTTTTTTTTTTTTTTTTTTTTTTAACACAGGTGTTGCTCTTGGTGAAGCTTGTACCATTGTGTTAAGAGGTGCAACACAGCAAATTTTAGATGAAGCTGAAAGGTCATTACATGATGCTCTTTGTGTTTTATCACAAACGGTGAAGGAAACTAAAACAGTTTGTGGAGGTGGTTAGTTTCTTTTCAGATTTATCAACATGACACCTTTTTTTAAAAAAAATTTGTTTATTTGAAAACTTTAATAAATATTGGGTTAGCAACTAAGTTCCTGCCATTTTTTTTTTTTTTTTTTTTTTTTTTTAAACGTTTAATAAAAAATAACAATTAATCGATAATGTATTCTCCCTTGTTGTTTACAACTTCTTCAACAAGATTTTTAATACCTCGTTGGTAGAAATCACCCTGTTTTGACTAGAATAATTCATTCAATCAATCTCTCAATTCTGTATCAGTGTTGAAGGAAACTCTGCACCTAGCATTTGAAAGAGGTGGAAATCTGTTGGTGCCAAATCGGGAGAGTACAACAGGTGTGGCAGAACTTCTCAACCATGCGTTTGAATGGCTTCCTTGGTCATATTGGTGATATGAGAGCAGACATTGTCGTACAGCAAAAGAACTCCATGCAGCCAATTAGGGCTTTTCTCTTGAATAGCCATGTTAAGTCATTCCATCTGTTGAACATAGTTCCATGTAGACCATTTGGTTCCATTCAAGCAATTTGTAAGGGATGATCCCATCCCAGTCCCACCATATGCACATCGATTTACGTGGATGAAGATCTTGTTTCACACATAGTGTCACTTATTTACTGGGACTATGCTATTCCTTGCGCTGCTTCATATTGATGTAAAGGCACCATCTTTCGTCAAAAAAAAATCATTGATTGTGTCCATGAGTTAAGCAAACCAGCAGCAGTTGTGGCTCGTTGATTTTTGTTGTTGTTACTTAAAGCATACAGAACCCATGCTCCACACTTCTGAGCCTTTCCTATTGAGTGAAGATGCTTCTCTATCGCAGTGTGGAAGCATTCCATTTTCTCTGCCAGTTCCTTTGTTGTTTGACGAGAATTTTCATGCAAAAGTTGGTTTAATCACCGTGCATCTTTGAGGTAAAAATTTCCATTTTTTAACTTGGAATACCAATCACAAGCAGTTCTTTCATCCTCTCCATACACAGCACAAATGTTGCAAGCAGCTTTTGCAGCCTTAGAACCTTGATTAAAAACAAAAAGGAGGTGGTGTTGAAAATTCTCATTTTTCTTAATTTGACATTCCATTTTAATGATCTGAAAATAAACAGAAATTAACTTGAATTAATTCAAAAAAAAAAAAAAAAAATAGATTACAAAATGATTCCAAAATAGAATTCTCAAAAAAAAAAATAGATTACAAAATTTAAAAAAAAACGGCAGGAACTTAGTTGCCAACCCAATACATAACAAAAATGTTTATCTGCATTTGATATTTAAAACCTTTTGCTTATAAAAAATAAATAATTTCTGCAGGTATACCTCATGTTCTCTGAAGTTCACTTTATGTTAAGAAGTAACTACTAATTTATACTGGGAGATCTTTTTGAGTGTTCTCTGGATTAAAATTAACTTTTCCATTGTTTGCCTGACTTCATGTTTGAAATCTAACAGCTTGACTGCTTAGCCTCATGCATTTTTCAGTCATGATTGTTTGCAGGTAGACAAAACATCCTGCAAACCTACCCTAAATATACATACCCTTTCAAAATTATGACAATACATTTCTTCAGTTATTGTACCACTAGTAATCATTTGAAAATGAAGGTTATTTTTCCACTTAGAAAATGCTCAAATTTTGTTTTCCCATTTAAATTAATGATAACTGCTTCATTTTATACCATATTTGCTGATAGAAGATATCTTTTTGAAACCTTTTGAGTTTGGGGATAATTATGACTTTCAAAGCAATTATAGTTGTACAAAAATTGTTTATTTGAATACAGTTATTTTAAAGATTTTTTTATTTTTTTTTTTTTTTTTTTTTAATAAATTTTCAGGTTGCAGTGAAATGTTAATGGCTGAAGCTGTTGTTAATCTTGCTGCCAAGACTCCTGGTAAAGAAGCTGTTGCAATGGAATCATTTGCTAAGTCACTTAGAATGGCAAGTTTGTTTTTTTTGTTTTTACACAATTACTCTATTCTGTTATGTCAGGCAATTGATATTGGTAAAATTTACAGAACAACTGTTTCAACTTATATCTATTTTAAAAATATTGTTTTAGGGCTGTTAGATTTTATTATGCAAACTAAGTATTTTTTAATAAATAAAACCAAAAGGTATACTCTGGAACCATATTTGATTAACACACTGATATACTTAAATATATGTTATGTGTGTTGTTGTTTTTTGTTTTTTTTATTGCTTCTCAAGATCTTTGCTTGAATATTGTTTTTTAATTTTTATATGCATCTCTTATATGATAGAAAAGCTTTTTATTGACATTAATATCTGGGGAGGATGGGAGCCATTCCATTAATGGCTCCCATCTTTAAAACCTTTTAGCTTTGCAGAATGTAAAGAAACATGAATATACTATTTAGCTTAGAACTTCTAGGTGGTAACCTGTACCACTCAAAAAATGTATTGTACCAGAACAATCATTCTTGCCACCATCATCAACTTTGAAGAGATCTAAAATCTAACACTAGCTCCAAACATAACTCTATCTTCCCCCACTGTTAAGTTAGTTAACTATTTCCATGGAGGACTCAACAACTAGCCAAACATCAGGTCTATCCAATGTTTCTCTACATTCATCACTGAAAATTACTACACAGAAATTAGTTTTCATGTACTTCTCCACCCAACTTTAAAATTTATTTTTGTGATGTTTACTTAAAGATGATAGTTTGGTTGTTTTCATACCTTTACCCAATGTTCCCCAAATTTTTTAAATTTGAACAAGCTTCTTCAAATATTTTCTTGTTTTGCTGGTAAGTTCACTTTTCTTGCTTATTACTTTTTTTTTTTCCAAATATTTTCAATTTCTTTTGATAGCTGTGTAATTGATGCTTAAGTAACAGCTGTAAATGAATATTCCGGATTTGCTATCCTTTGCCCAAATATGTCTTGTGCAAATTTTTGAAAGATGTCTGAATACCATTTTTTCTTTGGGCTATAGGCCCATCTTCATTCACTCAAGCCAAGGTGACATCTTATCTCATTAATTGTGGAGCTGACATCATACTGGATGGGTTGAATGGTTCAATGACACAATTTGTTTAGCTGCTAGCACGCAACATTCTAGAAATCCATAGTAACTGAAGCTCTTCATTTTATTAACAACAGTCACTAATGAAACGCCTCATAAAAGATTCTTCATTTCTTAGGCATTCTTGTCATGGAACATCATTTCCTACATGTCTAATGAATCTCATCCCAATTCTCTTACACTGATTTGTTTAACAAAACTGTCCCTCTTGAAGAAGTTGAGCTTAGGTATCCTGATGGAGGTAAATTTCAGTCTCTCAAAATTTGGCTCCATCTCCATTTTCAGAGGCAGCTTCTATCAGCTATACAACAAAAAAATTTTGAATTCTAACCAAACTACAAAAATGAAGCACTCTGAGGAGATTCCACTTTCGAATAATATTTGTAGGGATACGAAAGGTCAGATTGAACTGAAGTTCACTCACAACCTCGTCCAGAGCGTAGAACCACTCTCATTACAAAGGAACTTCAGTGATTGAATGTAGGCATAGCAGCTCTAGCAAAGGCACGATTAGCAGGAGAGGATCAGTTAGTAAAGGTATCGTCAAGCTTCATGATTTTCTAGGTAGGTAAACTCGGAGCTAAACGAAGAGTTGGTGGTGTTGGCTTTGCCATCAGAACATCTCTTGATCGCATCAAATTTCCTTCTAGTGTAAATGATAGAATTATGAAGATGTGGGTGCCACTGATACATGATTGATATGCAACATTCTTGTCCATTTATGTACCAACCCTACAGGCCAGCAAGGAAGTTCTCGATTCATTCTACGAGTGTCTTCACTCTACTATAACAACTCTTACTGCTGGTGATAGATTAAGGATCCTTGGAGATTTTAATGCCTGTGTATGCATAGATTGCCAAACTTGGGGCACTATTGGCCCTTTCGGCATTGGTAAAATGAATACAAGCGGATTGAGATGCTCAAACTTTGTTCAAAACTTGATTTAATCTTCTGCAACACATTTTTTCATCAAAAGATTAAGCACAAAACTATGTGGTTTCACCCAAAATCCAAGCATTGTCACATGATAGACTATATCATCACTCATAAATGAGATTCAAGTAATGCATGTTTGGTGCGTGTAATGTGTAGTGCAGAATGTGGAACTGACCATAAATTGGTGTATGGAAAATTCAAGCTGCATATTTGTAAGAGAATTCATATGGATAGAGTGAAAGCACCAAAACAAATTGATGTGACTAAATTAAAGCAAGCAGATATAGTGCAGCTATGATGGAATGACTTGATAGCCTTGACTTCGACGGTACCTGGGAGAACCTTTAGGGACTAGGTATATTCAGTAGGGGCTGATATACTTTGTTTCAGAATCAGGAAACACAAGGATTGGTTTGATGACAATAACATTCACATCAACCAGCTATTGGAAACCAAGCACACTATATATGAAAAACTACTTAACCAGAATTTTGAAAAGTAACCTGCAGCTGAGAAAGCTTACAGGGACCACAAGTTAATCCTACAACATTAACTATGCAGGATGAAAAATGATTGGACGAACCAATGATATTCAACACTAAAGACGCACAGTTAGCCCACTGGGCGTAGGACCTCCCAAGCCTTCTGGTAGACTATTAGGAGAAGGAAATTCTGATAGGAAACCTGCCTCATGGCCACACTAGATATCTTGCAATTGCTTGTCTCTGGACAATGTGGCTTTGTGGTAAGGGATGATGCAGCACTGTGCAAGCTCTATCTGACAACTAGCCAGCTTTTTCTCTCTTTCTTTTTTTCTCCTACCGACATTTTAGACTCAATTCTAAGTATACTCAACATAATTCCAAAAGATGACAAGATTGTCCTTCTTGGTGTCCCAAGTTGGTGCAGATTGGGAGGCCTTGAGTAGTTTGGGCAAATATGGCATTGGGAAAATCAACACCAATGCCATTGGGAAAATCAACATAAATGGGTATGGTTTAAGGTATACAAAACACAAATTTAATGGTGTAACAGTAATGCCAAGAACTATGTCGTTGAAACAGACCAGACAATATGCATCAAACTGATGTCCTCATTCACTTGAAAATAGACAACCTGACCCTACCTTGAGATAACCTCTTTCCGAAAGTAACTAATATGTTGATACAATATGTTCACCCTTATGCCCCTTTTTACAATAATTGGTTTCACTGTTTCCATGTAATTAATATTACAAATACATATATTTATAAAGCTCCGTAAATTTCAAGATTAGTTATTCCAAAATTCGCTTGAGGATGAAACAGAGCTGGGTTTTTAGCTTTTGTTTTTGAAACATGAGAACTCTTATGTAGCGATCGAATCTTTTTTCTTTTTTTTTTTTTTTCTTTTTTTATAAATTATAATTTAGGCTCTACTTATGTATTGAGCACTGTTTTTTTAGAAATAAAAACAAAAATACGAAAGAACTTTGGATTGTTAACCTAACAGTTTTTTCATATATTTTTCACATATTTACACACACACACACACACACATATATATACTAATATAGGTAACTATACTCGTTTCGAAAAACCCTGGAATTTTTGATTTGCCAATAATCAAATCAATCTTGAGGTGAAAAAAAGGTTTTAAAAAAAAGAAAGAGCTAGAAACATGGAAGTCTGTCGAAAAAAATTGCACAGATACAGGTTTGAAGCCCAAAGAAAAAAAAAAACCGATACGAGTAAACAGCTAACTAACAGAAGAGCTCAATACAACCGTAGAGCAGACCTGGGTAGGTTTGTCTGGCTCACTAGGTTTATATATATATATATATATATATATATATATATATATATAAGCAAGTGTAAATGGATATAAATCCGACAGAATGAAGAAATTTTCTTCATGTATATATATATATATATACTTTTTTTTCTGAAAGAGTTGTTTGTAGTTCAATATGATGTATTTCTATACAATTTGTTTTTTGACAACTTCATAAAGGTTTTTTTTTATCTTATATAATATCTTATAATATCAACGTAAATATGGTAGATAATATTAACAGAACTAGTAAAATTATTACTGATAAATTAAAGATAACCAATAGAGTTGGCAAACTTGCTGAAAATATAACTATATCTTTCTTAAGTACCACAAACCATATTTTGAGGAAAACCCTACTACCGGAATGATAAACCCAACCTGACATCGGAAAGATAAGCAAAAGAATCCTAGAAAGGATTACTAAGCAAATTAAAAACTACCTTGGATTAACACTCTGGATTAATACTAAAGAAGTCATCAATTGGTTTGCCAGCATCGGCAACAAGCTTAATACAGTTCGACATTGTGGATTATTACCAATCAATATCAAGAGATCTATTCATGACTACCCTTGAGTTTACTACTTTATATTCAGATCTAACAGAAGAAGAAATGAACATAATTCTTAGTGCAAATTAAAATTTGTCATCATAATGGGGACCAATGGATTAAAAACACTGAAGACCATTTTGACATCACTATGGGATCCTTAGACACTGCAGAGTCTTCTGACCTTGTTGGTCTATTTATACTATACAACCTAACTGTGCACCATGAATTAGACATTAAGGACATCAGGCTATACAGGGATGATGGGCACGTGGTAGTGAGGAGTTCCACAAATTTTAAAATAGATAAAATTAAAAAGATAATGTATAGTCAATTCAGAAAACTAAATTTAAAATCTACAGTCAATACACTATTGAAAAGGGTAAACTTCCTTGACATAACTCTGGACTTAACGAACAATGTATACCTACCTTACACAAAAACCTAACGTATCTACACCCTAGGTCAAACCACCCTTCATCAACAATTAAGCATATACCCTTATCAATAGAGAAAAGAATCAGCATGAACTCTGAAAATGAAGAAATCTTCCAACAACACAGCTCAAAAAAATAGTGTATACAAAAA